AGTAAAGTTAAAAAAGGAAATTCTATTAGCATACTACATAAAAAAAAGGAAAGAAAATCATATGCCCAAAATAAAATGTTCCCTTCCTTATGAAGAAAATTGAGAAAAGAATAATTTTTTGATAGTGAAAAACAAGGCCTTTTATATTAAACGAATGTAAAAATATTTAATATAACTTTTTCTGTCTAATAAACATAAAAATACATTACTTTTCTCTTTAATCATATAATTAGAAAGCTTTTATTTCTTTACACTTATCTTCATCTTGTTTCCTTTTCTTTGGTTCTGTATTCTATTTGGAATGGGAAGAATGAAATATATATATAAATATTTGTTTTGTTTACCTAAACAAGAGGTTCTCGGTATTAAAAAGATTCTCTCCTAAAACGATGTATATAACTATTAATTAAAAAGTAAATAAATAGATTTTGATAATTTTAAAATGATTTTTATTTCTATATGACATCACTGTAAAAGGTTTTATAGAACTTATTATGATTGAATAATAATAATAAAATATATTTTTTACATCATCGATACGTGCACACACTCGAAATTTTATTGATCAAAATAAAAAATAAATTAATTTTTATTTCATGCAACATTATCATCCAAAAGTAATATTCAAATAACTAATATTGTATTTTTATTTAAAGATAGTCTTGGTGCTAATAGTATAGTTTTATTTGATATTTGTTCTATTAAAATAATTTGTTACTTTTACATTTTTTTACCGTAGTCTTTAAGTATTTTTTTTAAATAACATTTTATAATAAAAATCATTATTATTTTAAAAATAAAATTTATTACGTTTGGCATAAAAATTAAATAATTAAGTTATTTATAGAAAATAGTAAATAAATTATTTAATTAAATTATGCACATAGAGTGATTTAAATATAAGTTAAAAGACTTTTATTACCTTAATTATTTATATTAATATTTTCAAATTTAATACTAACAATTAACTACAAATAATTATAAAAACTACACATAAAAAAGTGTCACATGATTTTTAATTAACTATATTTTGTAAGACCCCTTAAATTTAAGTGTTCTATTTTCAATGCCATCTTTGTATTTGTCATATTGTACTTAATGTTAAAGAGAATAAATTTTAAATGATATTAGAAGAATTAAATTATATTAATTAATTTTATTTAGTAGCATAAATATGAATTAATTTTCCCTATGATGTAGTAATTTTTATGTTATAATTAAATAAAAATATATAATAAATTGACTGACTTTTATTTATAATAAATAACTTTAAATTGCTTGTAAAAATGTACATTCTAGTTGTTATTTTAGCATTTTTTTTAATTAAAAAGTTGTTTTCTATTTTTCTAAAATGTGGGTTTTTAAAATATATCCAAATAAACACATCTTAAACAAGAAAAAATGAAGTTAATTTTTCTATAAATTAAAATTAGATTGTATATAAAAACTTTTCTTATTTATCAAATAATTTTAACATAAATTATTTCAATTTTGTTTCCATTTTTTGTATTTTAGAAACTGTTTGGGCTGGTTGTCTACTGTTTTTGGTTTCTCTGCAAAAAAAAAGATTTGTGTTCGCGGCACAGTGCTGCATGCTTCACGCTTGGCTAGCTAATTTTTGTTTTTATTTTGTTTATTGGTGGCACGTGTTCGAAAAGGGAAACACCAACACCAACACCAACCACTGATGAATTTAGTCACATTGGTGTAGAGCTTCGAAATTGACAAAGAAAAAACCCCACAGAGAGAAAATGAATTTCCTTGTTTGCCAAAACGATTAGCATATTAAAGGCCATTTATGTGACGATATTGTCCTCAGATGATGTGAGTTTCCAGTCAAATCAAAATCATTTTTCTTTTGTGAGTTCTCATTTTCTTCAAGAGCTTGTCTGTCTGTTTTGTGTGTGTATTTGTTTGTGGGCACTGAACTACCTCAGTGTTCTCTGTGTATGTTTTTGTGCTCTCAAAAGAAACCGCAGTCGCTTTCTCTCTGCGGAAAGTGACAAGATAGAGAGGGATAAAGAGGGAAAAAGAGCTTTTCAACCCCAAAAGACAAAACGGGTGATTACTTGAGAAAAAAGAGAGCCGTTGAGGCTTGGAAGAGAGCCATTCAGTTCCGGCCCTTTGGAACTTGTAGCATGGTTTGTTCCGATTATCATCGTTTCTTTACCTTTTACTATGTTTCTGTCTAGGTTCTTTTTTTTATTATGCTTTTGGGATGACCTTGTTTAAGCTTTGAGTATGTGTGATTAGATTGTTTGAAAATTTTGGGTTTTGAAATTGGAAATGATGGTGGGGTGGGATTCTTTATGCTCGTTTCTTTGGTTCTTTGAATAAAAAATTGATTTTTTTTATGTGGGGATAGATGATCGGGCTTATGGGGTGGGTGGAATCTATACTACTTTGGGTGTTCTTGTGCGTGTCTATAATATTTGATTTTCTTTCTTTTCTTTGTTCCTCTTCTTTTTCATATTTATGTAGTTTTTGAGTTATTGAGATTGGCTTTGTATAGGCTTTAGTGAGGTTTTGGTTAAATTAGAAAAGGGTAATCTTTGTTTTGACTGGTAGATAAAACTCGACTCCCTTTGCGTTAATTTAATAGTTTCCTGGTTTTAATTTGGAGAAACCCAAGTCGAGTTTTCTCCTTTCCTGCACATATCTATTGTGTGTGTGGAATTGAATTCTTTGCTCCTTTTTTTTTTTTTTTTAATT